CGTGTCCTTTAAGGCGGGCGATGTTGCCCTGTAAACAAAGAAGACCTGTGACCTGTATGGGGGAAAAATCGTGGTCACAAATGCAACTTTATGGAAAAATCCGATGTACGATTCGAGAGCACACGGTTTGTGAGTGACATGCAATTCCATTTAAATGGATGTGTTTCAAGTCAAGATATATTAAACATTTATGCAGCATTTGAACACGTTGATCATTACTTGACTTACGTAACTTCTTTTGAACAACCACGCGTCTCCACTTAATTGCAAGAAATGATGTTTGTTGCAGCATCAACTTTTTGCAAATCCCTTCTTTTCCGCAAATACGTTAACTAGTGTTCTTTGAGCATTCTAAGCCATTTTGGCATTGATACACTATGGTGCACCCCATTTCTGACATACGTCTCAAAACAATGAAGACAACCAGCTACATCCAATGATGCTCAATTGACGTCAAAATATACATGATCATTAAAAGTATCGACCTCGAGGAGTGTTATGCTCTACTACTGCTGCTGAATAGTTTTGCTGATTGGTGCACCCAGACCATACTGGCTTTGACCATCCACAAATCAGTGCCAACATTTCAAAGGGGCGTAATTGATTTTGTAAACAATGACTTTAGCCGTCAATTTCTCGCGAATGAAGTCTTACCTCTCCAAAATGACAATGCAAACTGGTAGAGGAAACATTTCTCTACCTGCTGGTGTCATTATTTTTCACGAGTGAGCTTTTATTCAAGAGAAATCGACGGCTAAAGCCATTGTTTACAAATGCAATTACGCCCCTTTGAAATGTTGGCACTAAAATGTAACATTTTGTCTTTCCATCGCAAGATCAACCCGATTACGTACACGATTATTCAATTAATGGTCAGTCCCTTGAGCGTGTTCTGCATGTTCGTGATCTTGGCGTCATCCTAGATTCAGCGCTGACTTTCCGCTCACACTACAACGATATTATCTATGTAGAGCCAACCGACAGCTGGGATTTATGTTCAAATCATACTGCAAATTTACCGATCCTCTTTGCCTCCCGCCTCTGCACTGCGCTCTGGTGCGATAGATTTTGGAATCCAACTCTGTAGTATAGTGCCCCTACCAACCAACTTGAACTGGTGGGATCAAAGCAATTCAGAGAAAATTTGTGAGATATGCCCTACGACGCCTCCCGTGGCGAGATCCATTGAACCTAGCACGCACGCTTCTTCTGAAACATCACTACGTGAGGCTTAATCACGAGTATCAGCGAGCCTGTCGTCGATGCTTTCTGCGATTTCAACGAGGTATTCAGCGTTACCCTTAAACTACACCCGAAATCATTCTGGAACTACGTTAACGAGCAACGCAGAGAATCTGGCCTCCCATCGTCAATGGAATTGAACAGTGAAGTCGCTTCCACTCCGCAGGATATTTGCCGCCTTTTTTCTGTCAATTTTGCCAGTGTGTTCACTGATGAGAGACTAAGTGACGACCATGTTTCCCTCGCAGTCAGGAACATCCCACTAAATGGTCAAATGCTGGGTGCAATTGATGTCAACGTTGAGATGATTTCTAACGCTGCAACGCAGCTCAAATCGTCCCTGGACCCGATGGAGTTCCGTCCGTGTTTTTGAAGAAACATATTGCTTGCTTGTTAACTCCACTTCACCGTCTATTCCGTATGTCTCTCTCCAGTGGTATATTTCCATCCTCCTGGAAATGTGCACACATGTTTCCTGTCCACAAAAAGGGGAGCAAACGAGCCGTGGATAACTATCGTGGAATTACATCTCTGAGTGCTGTTTCGAAACTATTCGAGCTTGTTATTATGGAACCGTTGCTCTCTCACAGCAAGCAGTATCTGAGTGCTAATCAACACGGGTTTACTGGCGGTCGCTCTACAACCACCAATCTGCTATGCCTCACATCCTACATTACCGATAGTATGACTGAACGGGTACAGACGGACGTTATATATACCGATCTATCCGCGGCATTCGATAAGTTGAGTCATGACATTGCGATTGCTAAACTCGACAGGCTTGGGGTGAGCGGTAATCTCTTGAGTTGGTTCCGTTCGTATCTTACTGGTCGCCAACTTATGGTTGCTATAGGAGATTGCAAATCAGCTAGCTGCTTTGCCACATCAGGTATACCGCAGGAAAGCCATCTGGGACCGTTGATTTTTCTACTCTACTTCAACGACGTGAATCTGGTTATCGAAGGACCTCGATTAGCATATGCAGACGACCTCAAAATATTTTTACGAATTTGCTCGATCGCTGACTGCCACAATCTTCAACATCAGCTTAATGTCTTCGCCAGTTGGTGTACGTTAAATCGAATGGTAGTGAACCCAGCAAAGTGCTCTGCCATAACGTTCTCACGAAAAAAAGCAACCGATTGTATTCAGCTATGACCTACTTGGAACGACACTCGAACGCGTGAATCAGGTGAAAGACCTGGGTGTGGTGTTGGATTCACAGCTAACATTCAGGCAACATATTTCTTATGTCATCAATAAGTCGTCTAGGACTTTAGAATTCGTCTTCAGGATAGCTAAGAATTTCACCGATGCCTACTGCTTAAAATCTCTTTACTGCTCCCTCGTACGATCGACGCTTGAGTATTGTTCTGCGGTTTGGAACCCGAATTACAACAATGGTGCCGAGAGAATCGAATCTGTTCAACGTCGCTTTCTTCGTTTTGCGCTTCGTAGACTGCCCTGGAGAGATCCGCTTCGGCTGCCCAGCTAAGAGAGTCGCTGCCAACTGATAAACCTTGAACCTCTCCGGATTAGAAGGGACACCAGCAGAGCTTTGATTATCGCCGATTGTGAGGCTATCCTGAGGCAAATTGACCTAAACGTGCAACCCCGACCACTTCGTAACAACCTCATGCTGAGACTGCCACTGCGTCGCACGAACTACGGGGCATATGGTGCGATTTGCGGACTACATCGTGTGTTCAACAGAGTCGCATCTGTATTCGACTTTCACCTCACACGTGATGCGCTTCGTCGGAGATTCTCATCTATTTTCGCCGGCCGTAGTGACTGACAGAGAAAATTAGTGTATTTCCATTTATGTTTTTTACATTCTGACCATGTTTCTTTGTTTTTCTTTCTGTGATTATTTGACGTGTAATTTTACTATTATTATTATTATGATTAGTATTATTAACATCATTTGGTCTACAGCCAGTCTGTTGATGTATGGCAACAATAAACATCAGAACATGGAGATCGTTGCAGATTATCGGAACTGCAGACGCTTGAGCAGAGTCGGAATGATGCCCGCGGTGTTAGTTATTAAAATTCTCACAGGAGAAACTGACGCACCGGAGTTACTAGCTCCTGAACGATTGCTTCGCCAACGGAACTTTTTTTGCTGCTTGAGCCCTAGAACTCCTTGTATGGCCTTCATGATCCTGTCCGCCTCATCCGCTTCGACTTCAACTCTACTGTGGCAACATTTAAACGTAGGCTGACTGAGTTGTAGTGCTCAGAACGCTAACTGGACGGCATCCGTTAAGTTCCAGTTGGGATGTAAATACCACAAAGAAAGCGATGAAGTAATACAGAGACTCTATGCCCCTGGACACAATACTGAGGCGACAAAAAAGTGTCGTGCCCGCAAGTTTTCGCAAATTTCCCATCCATTACCATGAATAAACATAAGAAAAAAGTATGCTATCATCCTTAACGCACTCACTTGAACTTGCCGACAGCGGAACCGAAGTGATGACGCAGAGAGAAAAATTGCTTAAAAATAGCCACCACCAAACAAACATTCATCACGTGAAAATACAGCAAACATTTCAATTGGTTCATTCTAGCCGCCACAACTGCTGCTACGTGGTCGTCGCGGTTGAACTATGTCGCCGCTGATGAAGTGGCCTACACAAAACAAAGGAGAATAGCCAACGTACAAACCGGAAGTCCATGCGATTGCCCTGAGACACGACACACACACACACACACACACACACTCAGAAAATTAAAAGGAAAAATTCATTACCGACACGCACATCCATTAACGATTTACGGTTTTGACAGCACGAACTCCACCCTGCAGCTTTAATTTAGCCTGAAGCTTTCCATTCATGGAAAAGCAACCACCGTTGTTTGTTGCTTTCGGCGAGCCATTGTCACCAAAGTCCTGCTCAATCGTTTCCGGGGAATAGGTGGGGGCCTATCAAATGGTGTGGAAATTCCGCCTCCATAATAGAGGTCACGTAGCTGTGTGGCGGACGCATTTCTCTGTTGCGCCCAAATTGGGCAATTTGTGTCAGGAGAAGAGAGCAGAACAGCGCCATTTAACTGGACACAATCCATATCATTTTGCCCAAACAACCGAGCGGAGAAATCCGGTGGGATAGAAAATATCATTAGTCATTGGATATTCGTCCATTTGTTGCTTTCACTCGACGTAGGTATATACTATTTGCCCTGGCCGGCCGTGGTTGAAACGGACGAGCGCATCTGAATAGCGTGCGGGGGCTGTTGTGGGACTACGGGAAATGAGGGGAGAAAAGCTTCAATCGAACCACTTGTCCGTGCGACGAGCATGGAGCTTTAATTATATTTTCCGCTAACCCAGCAGTGGTACTCTAGCCCCGCAGAGGGAAATCACCCTTAGAAATTCAAATATTTTCTTTGAATGTGGAGACGCATGGTTTTCAATATAGGTGAAAAATACCACGCGTCTCCATGCGATTCGATATTTTTCAATGCCAGACTTATCCTTTTCCCATTCCTTTAATTCTGCCAAGTGTTCTATGGTTATAGGTAGAGAGGGTCTAGTATAAGAGAGGAGCGGACTCGTTGGTTTTGAGCCAAACGTTACTGTCAAAGCCAGAGACAATCGAGCAGCGCCTATCTTGATTGCATCGGCAGTGTTGCTGGAAACCACCTAGGCAGTTTGTTTTGAATCCGCTCACTCTCTTATAGTAGACCCTCTCTATTCATAGGCTTTTCTTCTTTTTATCCGTTTTCTTTTCTGTCGCTCCATAATCTAGGAAATGGATTTCTGATGCGTACAACTACTGGGACGAAATTCGCAAAACGGCAGAATCTTCCGAGGCAGGAGTGGCTCAGCTTTCCGCGTACATCTTCTCCAGTACCGATCCGGCGATTGTGAGGGTGAGTTTACCGTTTCCTTTGTACCTAGGTGCCGCATTTCCATTTGAAGCACATCCTTTTCTTTCGGTATGCTTACGGTTTGAGAACTGCTCCAAGATGTAGGCTACCCCTACTTGATGTTGCCGGAGCTTTGAGTCAGCAGTTTTGTTTTCTGTTTCGAAATACGTTCGCGTTTCGTTTTTTTTATTTTTGTTTTCGCGAGAGTAGAATTATCATTGCCGCGTGGAAAATTTTATTAGGTGGGTTTCTTTGTACGACTCTCGAGTGGATTATGCATATCATTTAGTAAAATGACTGGGAGTAATATTCATATGATTAAGTATTTCAAATAGAATTATCGCGGACGGATGGAAAGGATCATAAATCTTATTTTTTTTTCAGAAGTTACGTTAATGGCTTGCAGTTCTTCCGCCACCTTTAAATTTCGAACTCTATTTACGATCTTCACGCCAACTCGGTAAATGTTTGGCAGCACCCTCTCAGATTTCAATGAAACTTCGCGAATGTAAAAATATCTTTTACTTAAGAAAATTTACATACTAATTTTATTTAAAAAAAATAACGACCACCAGATTTGAGAAGGGCTGAACTTTGGATATCACAAATCGGAGTCCTCCAAAAATGTTGTCAAACGATGATTTGTAGGCAATTATATGAGCTTTTATAAGAAAATATAAAAAAATAAAAAAATATATTACTGTCGCATTTCGCTCGTTGGGCTATCTTTAACCCGTAAAAGCCCGGGACAAACTTTTTATTTTCAAAAATGTGTATCTCAGAGATGCCATAGCCGATTAAAATGACTTTTTTTTAACATCATTCCGGTGAGCGGTTCTTACATTTGTAAGGTGGTACTCCCCCCCCCCCATGACCCTCCCTCTTTTCTATATATTCAAGAATGTGTTTTTTTTTTTTGTTATTCGATTATTTGTACAGGCTCAGTCGAATAAACTTTACAGAGCCGAGATATTCTTTTTCTTCAACAATAAGAATCTTAAAACTAGAGTTAAGGGGGTTTAACTGATTACTCGCGGTCGTCTCGAGGTTAGGGAGTTTTACAATTTAAGGATGGGGAAAGGTTGAGAGGATTACGAATTTTATTTGTTTTAATGTGGTAACTATTTCTAAAACACTTACTTAAATCTAAAGAACTGATCATTTCAACATGAGATGAACATGAATACTACAGAAGGAATGTATATACACACACACACACTTTCTCGCAAACACATTCATCTTGACAAATATACCAAATTAAGAAAACAAACTATCTACAACCTAAGGTTAATGAATTTAAAAAAAATTCATATATGAGTTTCATATATTCCAAATCGCGCCCAGCCAAGATATCTCGAACCGGAACATTGGGTTGTCTACCTCGAGCCCGAAGGGAATCATACAAATGTGTTCTGACTCCACGATACTCCGCATAAGACCAAAGGATGTGATGAGCGTCCTGGTAACCTTGTCCACATTCACAGAGATTGCTGTCTCCCAACCCTACACGGAACAAGTGAGCGTTTAGACAATAGCGATTGGACATGAGACGAGACATCACGCGTATGAAGTCTCGACCCAAGTCCAACCCTTTGAACCATGCAAACTTCGACACCTTAGGGATAATTGAATGTAGCCATCGTCCCAAGCTCCCTTCACTCCATTGATGTTGCCAGCTAACGAGTGACTGCTGACGATAAATTGAAAAAAATTCACTATAGGCGATTTGTCGATCATAAATGTCGCCTTCCATAGCGCCCACCTTCGCAAGTGAATCCGCCTTCTCATTGCCCAAAATTGAGCAATGCGAAGGGACCCACGCGAAGGTGATGATGAAATAGCGCACGGATAAAGCACTAAGCAGCTCTCGTATTTTCAAGAGAAAATACGAGAAGTGCCTTACCGGCCTAGCGGAACGGATAGCCTCGACAGAACTGAGACTATCCGTAAAAATAAAGTAGTGGTCTGGAATAAGTGAAGCAATAGTTTCCAAAGTGTAGTGAATTGCAGCCAGTTCAGCCACATACACAGAACAAGGAGCTTCAAGTTTACGAGAGGCGCTATGAAATTTATTAAATACACCAAAACCAGCGGACTCCTCTATTAGAGATCCATCTGTGAAAAACGTTCTTGCAGAATCAACATGGCCAAACTTTACAGCGTATAATGACGGAGCAATCATAGGACGATGATGCTCTGGAATTCCGCGGATTTCCTGCGTCATAGATAACTCAAAATTCACTGAATTGCCGAAATCGGAGAAGACTACACGATTGGGAATATTTCTTGAAGGGCTGACATCCTGTGTTAAATATAGGTAGTACAAAGTCATAAAACATGTTTGAGGATTTAGCTCCAGAAGCTTCTCAAAGTTTTCGATCACCATTAATTACTTTACAACGGGTGAGGAGCCTCAGGAATAGCTCTGAAAAACGGACGGATAGTGGCAACATGCCCGCAAGCACTTCGAGACTCATCGTATGAGTCGAGTGCATGCATCCTAACGCGATACGAAGACAACGATACTGGATCCGTTCCAGCTTGATGATGTGCGTTTTAGCTGCCGACTGAAAACAAAAACAACCATATTCCAGAACCGATAAAATCGTTGTCCGGTACAACGTCAGAAGATCTTGTGGATGGGCTCCCTACCACGTTCCGGTAATTGATCGAAGGAAATTGATCCTTAGTTGGCATTTTCGTCTCAGATACTCAATGTGGGATCTCCAGGTGCATTTGGAATCGAACCAGACCCCGAGATATTTGAAAGACATGGAATGAGTGATCGGCTTACCCAAAAGTTGAAGCTTCGGTTGTGCTGGGCTATGCTTCCTAGAAAAAACGATCAACTCAGTTTTCTCCGTGGAGAATTCGATACCTAGCTGAATTGTCCAAGGTATCCTGTAAGGGTCCTTGCAGGTCAACCTCTTTTGGCCCTGTGATAGACACTACGCCATCATCTGCAAGTTGTCTCAACGAGCAATTGTCACTAAGACAGTTATCAATTTCTCTAACGTAGAAATTGTACAAAAGGGGGCTTAAACATGAGCCTTGGGGGAGACCCATGTAGCTAAATCGAAAAGCTGTAGAGTTTCCATGAGAAAAGCTCATATGTTTTTCTGACAGCAAATTGTACAAAAAATTATTCATTAATGGAGACAATCCACAAGCGTGGAGTTTCTCTGAAAGAACTTCAACGGATACTGAATCAAAAGCCCCCTTGATATCCAAGAACACAGAAGCCATTTGCTCTTTCTTAGCAAAAGCCAACTGAATTTCCGAGGAAAGCAACGCGAGACAGTCGTTCGTTCCCTTACCCCTACGGAAACCAAATTGAGTATCTGAAAGAAGGTGGTTCGTCTCAACCCATTTGTCGAGGCGAAAAAGGATCATTTTCTCCATCAATTTCCGAATACACGACAGCATCGCGATGGGCCGATACGAATTGTGATCCGACGCGGGTTTATCAGGCTTTTTAATGGCTAACAATATTGAGCTCCAAGAACTGATTGTACAAGTTCAACATGCGCCTCTTAGCGACGTCTGGGAGGTTTTTCAGCAAGTTGAACTTGATTCTATCAGATCCCGGGGCAGAATTGCCACACGAAAGGAGAGCAAGTGAAACTTCGACCATTGAAAAAGGCTGACTGATTTCATCTACCGAATTCGCGGTTTCGCGAAGAATCAATTAACAGAATTAACAGAGACTCTAGGAGCAATATATACAGAAGCAATACAAAGGCTCTTACCTTTAATGGTAACCTGACATGCGACAACTTCAATACCGGGGAATTCGGGAAGATTCACTCTATAGAAGGAATGGCACTTTTTGATCCCCAAAAGTACCCCTCCTCCACGTGAATCCTCACGATCCAATCGAATAATGTTAAAATCGTAAAAAGGGAGATCAATTTCTGAAGAGAGCCATGTTTCACAGAGGGCAAATGCATCGCAATTATTGTTATGGACTAAATATTTGAACGAATCTAATTTCGGAATAAGGCTTCGACAATTCCACTGTAGAACAGTGATCAAATCCCCGACCTCGTTTGGAAAATTATCCATCGAAGGAGATGATAGCTGCAAGAAGGGGCCATTTTGAAGTCGATTGCTTCAAGAAGGATTTCACAGTGGGAAGCAATGTGAGGACAATGCTTTTCAGAGGATCAGAAATGTTGAGGTATTTGAGAATACCGTCCACAATGTTATCAAATGAGAACAGCCCAGATGAAGAAGGGGTTTCTGTTCTTAAAATTGGGGCATCAGGGGTTTTGGATGTCCCCGCAAGAGGTGGAAAATCCTGGGTATAGTCAGTTCTGCGGAATCCAGGAGGAGTAGAAGTCTCCTTTTTTCCACCACTCCTTGATTTGGGCAAGCTGATTTGGGGTTCTTGATTGTCAACTTTCCGCGAACGGATGCGTTTTCGTTTCCGTGCAGAAAAACGAAAAGAAGTTCCCTCCTCAGCCAAGTCAGAGTCAGTCTCGTCATCTGACAAAAGAGAAAAGGGATTTTTGTCATTGGTCGATGGCGTGGCTGTCTTCAGCATTTCTGCAAAAGATCGCCTGGAACGTTCCTTAAGGGAGCGTTTCATTTTGTCCCGAGTTGTTTGTACGCCGGGCACGACGAGAGAGCATGAGGAGTTCCGTTGCAGTACACGCATTTTGGTGCAGTAGCTGCGCAGGCGCCATCCTCATGCTTCTCCCCGCATGTGGAGCAGTGTGCCTTGTTGCCGCAGTGGGAGGCCGTATGTCCCAACCGCTTACAATTCTGGCAGTTCATGACCCGAGGTACAAACAACCGCACAGGAAGACGAAGTTTTCCCAGCTCGATGTATTGAGGAAGGGCAGATCCAGAAAAGGTCACCCGAAACGAGTCTGTGGGGTTAAAACTCTTTTTACCCTCGCTGAGCGATACTGACTTCATTCTATGAACGGCCAGTATCTTTACCGGAGGAAGCAAGGGGTTTTTGAATCGGCCAACCGCTTGCTTCTCCAGTATCTCGG